TATTTATATATACATAATAAATATACACAGTACACATACATATATAATGTACACAAAAACGTTTATTTTGGATACGATTAATCGCGATTTGACAGCTGACAGCACTAAAATTAAGCTACTTCTAGTTTGACATTTGTAATTTTGATTACCATTCACGGATACAGAATATTTTGGATACGATTAATCGCGATTAATCGTTTGACAGCACTAAAATTAAGCTACTTCTAGTTTGACATTTGTAATTTTGATTACCATTCACATTATATGGATACAGAATTTTCAAAAAAATAAAAAAGTGTGAACGGTAGCTATATGGATAAAAGGCTGAAAACTGCTGCATGCATGTGGTACATTTACTGGAAAAGGCACTGTTACTGTATAATGAGTTTTGTGTGTAAAAGTGGCTAAGAATCATTTAAAATGACCGTGGTGGTTGTCATAATATCTATGGTAAGTTTTTGTAAATGTATTTTTCATTTGGTCACGGACAAAGACTTTTTAATTAACACCTAGAAATGTGTTTTTATTCTGTTTTACTTTTATGCTTTCTACAATAACTTGGGAGCCTGGCTCACATTTGAAATCAAAGGCTTTGATCAGTAGGGCTTATCTATCGATTATCCTCACCGGTCTGATCACAACAGACATCACACTTGGTGCAGCCGCCAATAGTCTGTCTCCCCCTCAATGCCATCTGTCTGGTATGGATCCACCGGGGGGAAAATCCAATGTTGGCAGAAGTTTCCCTTTTGAACTGATCTAAGATCAAATTCCCTTTCCACAAACCTCATTCTCAACTACAACAATAGAAACCACAAATCTGACCTCAGATCAGCAAGTTTCAGCCAAATTAAGAGGCTCATTTCATGCAAACACCCACGTTATTGAAAAGAAATTGTGACTGTCGTCTCACATTTGATGTCAGCCAGCATCATCCAAAGACAGACTCATCCTGCGCTGAGATCAAATGACGCTCTGAAGTTTGAATTAAAACCTTGATTAAAGCAAGCATTCTGCATTGAAAGAAAGACGTCAATTTCTCATTACCTTAAATGCACACATCCAAACACACCAATAAACACTGAAAGAAAGAGCAACTGAGGGAGTTTGTCTTTGATGAAGGTGTGAAGAAGTCTCTCTTTGATCATTTATTAATGTTCTATCTTTGATTGACAAATCCTTTAATTACTCAAAGGCATTTTATATATGTGACCCTGGACCACAAAACCAGTCATAAGGGTCAATTTAATCTGAAAGCTGAATAAATCTTTACTTAATATCCTAATGATTTTTGGCATAAAAGAAAAATCAATAATTTTGACCAATACAATTTTTGGCTGTTGCTACAAATATACCCCAGCGACTTAAGACTGGTTTTGTGGTCCAGGGTCTGGACCACAGAAGAAGTCTCTCTTTGGACTTTAATTATGATTACGTTTATTAATCATTAACTTCAATAGTGGATTACATCCCAGGTGTGCTTAAACCCATATGATGTTTCAAACATCAAGGAGGATATAAGGCTGAACCTTGCTTAAAAGGATAGTTCACCCAAAAATGAAAATTTGATGTTTATCTGCTTACCCCCAGGGCATCCAAGATGTAGGTGACTTTGTTTCTTCAGTAGAACACAAATTATGATTTTTAAGTCCAGCCGTTGCAGTCTATCAGTCGTATAATGCATGGCAATGGTAACAAGATTTATGAGAGTAAAAAAAACATGCACAGACAAATCCAAATTAAACCCTGCGGCTCGTGACGACACATTGATGTCCTAAGACACGAAACGATCGGTTTGTGCGAGAAACCAAACAGTATTTATATCATTTTTTACCTCTAATACACCACTATTCCTTTAATATGTTTCTCTCTCTCAAACAGCAGAAATTAATAAAAAGAAAAAATGGTGGCTTTTTTCAAGTGGAAGTGCTATCTGTACCAAAAATTCTGCTACTCATGATTAAATTCTACATCTGGGTCAAAGGACAATGCCAATATAGTGTAGTACAGTCTGGAAATGTGTTTATACCACACAACTGCATTTCTAAACAATATGGAAGCATTATTCTGACTCCAAAAAAAATGGTGGGTTTTAAATAATAAATATGTAATAAAATATAAAATACACAAAAAAAGATTGTCACATTGTTAGAAGAACTGTTAAAAACATTATAATTTTTAATGGTTAAAAAGGAAGTTTAATCAAATTTAGTCTCTGTACTCTCATTTAATCTTATTTTAGGGTGCCTTCCCATTTAAAAAAGTCAATTTATAACTTTTGGTGAAAATGTTTATATGCAAAAAAAAAAAGAAATTTAAATATAAAGAGTGTTACTTATGGTTCAGCTGCATTAATGAACGTTGCGAAACTTATTTGAAACAACACAAGTCTGTGTTAAAACCTTACCAGATCTTCCTAGCATTTAATGCAGTTTCTTCATTAACATTTTAAACCATTGATTGCAGCATGATGTTGCTGATGATATGATGCATTTGTGCATTTTGAGGCATGATGCATTGTTTTTTTCAATATCATAAATTCTTATTTGCCCTAAACAATGAAACAGACATGAATTATAAATATGAATTTATTTTAAAACATTGCAAAAATGTCATTTACATTGCGACTATATATGAACACAGCTTCTTCATAAAATGCGCCCATTGTTTGGACTTTCAGCCAATATGCCAAAACTATGTGGGGGCCACAACTGCAAAAAAAAAAAGGGAAGAAAAAAGAAAAAAAAAAGCAGCATTAAATTTTATGAATTGTATATAATATTTTATATTATACTCTGAGGAAAAAGCTGTCACTGGGGTGGTATCCTTTCAAAAGGTACACCTTTGTACTTTTTTTTTTTAACCCTAAAAGGTGCATATAAGTACCTTGAAGGTATATATTAGCACTTAAAGTGCACATATTAGTATCTAAATGGTACACATATTATTAGCTTTTGAAAAGGTATCACCCCAGTGACAGCTTTTGTACATTTTTTCAATGAACATACTATGCATTATATTATTTTAAACTTCAAACATACATTTTCCAACTCAAAAAAATGGAGAAAACACATCTTGTCCTTGTAAGACCCTCCACCCCCATATCATTTGCCTCTGACTTTCCAATCAGGGCCTGACAGAAGGTGAGGAGACCTGTTTACAGGGTCATGGGCACATGATGCTTTATACGATGCTCGTATACGAGTCGACAGCCGAAAACAGTTTCAAATGAAGACGGCACTCAATTCTTGAGACACTTACTAAATTATACTTTGAGTTCATTTATTTGCAATTTCAAATAAAAGTAAAATTAAGAAAGGATAATTTGTACTGCTTGTTTGAGACTCATTAAAAAATACTACATAAAAGGGCAACAATTCAAACTCAAAAAGCTTGTGGTTTGGCCTTTGGGGAAGTGTATAGGTCAAGAAATGAGACTGTATCCTCATTACCTTTAAGCAAACGCGTCCTCGGATCAGGGCATAGGGAATTGGGCCATAGCTTCGGGAATCTGTGGAATTCTGAAGGCTATCGCCTTCCAGCCACACATGCCCTCTTGGTACCTAGATTACAGCAGATTTGGAAGTCCAAAATTTTAAACCACCATGCTAACTTGAGAAAATGAGTACAATTTATTCTGATTGCAGCCACACTCATCTAAAATGATCCTTCGCCCCACTATGAAACGCATTCATATGCAGCACACCGTATTGAAACCCTAGGTTCTTCCCGGATTAGAGGATAAAGAAGTTCCTAACAGTGAGAAAGTTCACATGACTTAACTGCTCATCTCAGATCGGAAAGGGATCATTTTTAATGACCGCTGGGGCCTCGCACCCCCCCACCCCACCCTCTTTATCCTCTCGGTGAGGGGTGAAGCCACGCCTCCGTGAGCTGCTCCATGGGTCTAGACCACGGACAGACCTGCCAGGCTGGGCTTGCAACCGAGCGAAGCCTGATCCACACTGACATCAATTAGGAATAATCTCATCACACAGGGAGAGTGGGGCTGTCAAGCCCCTAATTAAGTCCCCTCCACCCCCTCTATATGTGAGGAGAGGATGAACAACACATCACGTTGTCATTATAAACATAACAGTATGGAGATGCCTATCTGGCACTGACCGAACTGAAGAATTTTTCAAATAGTTTTTCCCCATCAAGTAGCATTCCAAAGAATCTTCTGAAGCATTCCATAGAATCTTGTAGGATTTGATACTCTCAATTAATCACACTAGATATCTAACAAAGCCGTCTAATGCACTAATGTGTGGGAATGACTAAATATGACCCATAAAGTGATTTGCTGACCTTCTGTATTGCAAACAAATGCATCGACAAATGCGAAAGAATCGTGATTATAAACATATGTCAGCATGGAGTCGCCTTGCAGTCGACTCTCATTAGCATGGAAACATACGTTTGATCCCATCCACAAGAAATCTCAGCCCATCATCATCTGCTGTTCTGAATCGAAGCTTTTGTCCTGTCTGTCAGCTAAGCATACGAGAAATCACACCATACTGTGACCAAACACAAATGTTGAAAACCCTGCGTTCGATCTTACAAATGGGAAGCATGTTAGAAACATATTATGGTTACTGTTGTTGATTGTGAGAGCATGAGCATACAACAAGGTTGTAAATATGGACTAATGAGTAGATGAGTTTAACTCTTCAGCCTCCTCAACAAATTCTGTGGTCTATTTAGCTACTAGTTAGTAACCACCTTTTTCAAGACACGTAAAAGCTTAAAATCATGAGTGAAAAAAAACAAAACAAAACAAAAACCCATTGACTTCAGAATGATGGCAATTCACAAACGCTAACTAATGCAAGTTTCAGGATCAGTTCCAGCAGCACTGTATTGAACTATCACACATTTTCTCCTGTTTATAGATCTTTCCCAGGAACGTGTTGTGGTTTGGAGACATGCAGTGAAAACAGCTGCCTAAGATATCACAGCCAAATCAGTTATTAATGTTCTATCTTTGATTGACTGCTCAAAGCAGTTTGATTGATTACGCAAAGGCATTTTATATATAGGAACAAACAAATTACCCTGTCATGCTAAAGATAGTATTTAAACATACTTGCCAAGACACTCTTTTCAAAAAAATGTTTATGAAACATTGATATTTCTGAATGTTATTAGATACCACAAAGTTACAGATCGGACTTATATTAGCATTACTTCAATTATAGAAAACATGTCACATTTTCTGTTAGCTATAAACAAGTATCAACACAAAACAACTGTGACAAAATGATAAGCATTTGAAAGAAAAATCAATAGAGTACACAAATAAATGCAAGGAAGAGCAGTTAAAACTCAGTATGTTAATACTGCTATGATGCCATTGCTATTGAATTAGATTAGCATTTTAAGATTTCATACTTTAATCACTTTTCAAACATTTTAAGAGTAGAAGAGACTGCATCAGTACATTGCTGTCTTAATTATTTTGCAATTGGTTTAGGATGGCTAGTACAGAGAGTGAGCCAACTTCTACAATCTTGGGTCCTTGTTCATCTGAGGGTTTGTATTTCTTTACCTTAAATGACTGCGGTGACAGGCCTTTCTTTCTCTCCTTTCTCTTTATCACTTGCTCTACTCATCTGGCACTAACACTAACAGCTTCGGGAAAAATTACAGGCCAGAACCACACATAGTCAAGGTGGAAAAAAAACAAGTGATACAAAAAAAGCAATAACAGCTATTTCAGTGACAGGGTGGCTATGCTCTCTCTGGACCGATAACTGAGAAACAAGCATTTGTTGTTGCCATAAGGTAAACGTTTTACCCAACGAAGGTGAAAGCATGTGAAATTCAAATGCATACACCTTAAGAGTAAACACAGTGGTTTATACAAAAAAAGAGAGACAGAAGGACTGTAAAATGATGTAGTAAAGGACTTCATAAAGTGTCTATGGGTTTATGGAAAAGGAATAATTCCTTCAAGCAGAGCTGATGTCAGGTGCGATACAGCAGGTACTCACATAAGTGTGTGTTTTAAAGACGTCAGATGATCCACTAGTGCAAACTTTGTCCCCTTCCAGGCCGATCACTCGTTTACAAATGTTCATTTTTGGATCAAAAGGACTTTTGGCTATTACGATATCCCCTCTGAAAGAATGTAACAGGTGAGTTCAAAATAAAGCAGATACTCAAAAGATTATGCATGACAGTATTATCAATAAATGTGACCCTGGAGCACAAAACCAGTCATAAGTAGCACCTTCAGCTCCACGTTTTCTCCGAGCAGTGCCGAGACGTTCCTGCCCAGATGTGAAGAAAGAGCCACGAAGCCTTTCTCTACAGACAGACAGACAGATGAAAATATTGTTAATACAAATGATCAGGACGAGTTACACTGAAGTTTAATACTAACTATGACCAATAGTAGTAATAGTTCTTGTCAATATGCACAACTTATTATTAAATGTGACCCTGGAGCACAAAAGCAGTCTTAAATCGCACGGGTATATTTGTAGCAATAGCCAACAATGCATTGTATGGGTCAAAATGATCGATTTTTCTTTTATGCCAAAATCATTAGGATATTAAGTAAAGATCATGTTCCATGAAGATATTTTGTAAATTTCCTACCGTAAATATATTAAAACTTAATTTTTGATTAGTAATATGCATTGCTAAGAACTTCATTTGGACAACTTTAAAGGCGATTTTCTCAATATTTTGATTTTTTTGCACCCTCAGATTCCAGATTTTCAAATAGTTGTATCTCGGCCAAATATTGTCCTATCCTATCCTAATACATCAATGGAAAGCTTATTTATTCAGCTTTCATATGATGTATAAATCTCAATTTTGAAAAATTGACACTTAAGACTGGTTTTGTGGTCCAGGGTCACAAATGTCAAATAAAAGCTAAAGTAAGCATTTGATACTCACTTTTGTATTCGACAGAGGTGACGGCTTACTCGTTCTGAAAAAAACACATCGTGGTTAGTGATGGTGGGCTCCATGGAAGGTCCTGAACACTGTTGAAGGTGAATTGTTGGTAGAAATAAACATTTAAATGTATTTCTTTTACTATCAGTGGGAATGCTTTGACCAAACAGCTCCAAGAAACTTACCGACACAAATTTGCCAATATACTCAAAGGCACAGTGAGCGATGCAGCCATACTGGACGGTGTAACCGACAAAGCTAATCGTTTTCACAAAGAAACCGCGAAACATCCTGCCAAGTCTTCATAAATCCTGAAATAATAAAAAAGAGAGTCTACATTTAAAAACAATTATTCACAACCAACACTGATTTTGTCATAAAGGTGATATTGTACACATGTACTGATTTGTTTGAGTTCTAAAACAGGTTAATGAAAATGAAGTCTGAAATTAAAAATTAAATCTGGTTTTCAGGAAGAGTAACAAGTAATTACTGGAGAGGAAATGGAAAAGGGATAATACAATACTGCAGCTTATTGATCTTATTGTGAGAGATTCATCCATGCATACGTTTAATTTTTTTTTAAAAGATGAGCTTGTCATTTTTAGTCAAAATATCATCACCTGCATAAAAATTAAGCATGTGTACATTTTAGTATTTTAGAAATGGACTAGTCAACGATGCATCTGAATGGTTAGTTGAATTGATATAGGGATATATCCACCAGACACTTTTCACTGGTATTTCATATTAACATCCTTGGAGAAGATTTTAGCATGCTAACAGTTTTTACAAAATAGCATACGTTTGTATATTAAAAACCATTTTCAGTAATTGTATATAATATATAAACATTACATGAAAAATGTAAGCTAAATCGATCTTAGAAATGCTGAAAATTAGAAATAACTGACATATGTTTATACAGAAAACCTAAAGTTATAAATTATATTAATAACTACTATAACAGTATAAACAATACTAAAATAACACTGGTGTATGGTAGATTCAAGACCCTGAATTTAGAATATAACATCACATTACCATTTTTATTAGTTATTGTATTGCTAGTGAGAACCACATCTCTGGAGCACATGCTCTAACCACTACACTGCAACTCCAAATGGAAACCTTAAATTTGTATGGAAATTCTCAATTGGAAATCTCACTCAGTGACAAAACCTGACGACACAGGCCTGTGCCAGAGGGTCGAAAGAGAGTTTTAAACACTTTGTCACTGAGGTGGTGTTGGTGGGGAAATGCACCTCACACATTTAATGGCTAACGGTTAAAACTGTGAAACCAAAGTTGATCATTAGAGATGGTGTTTCATTCTCAGGAGCCTCTACAACCCATCAACAAGACACAAAGAGTGACCCCTGGGCGTCTGACCCTGTCTCAGACAACCCAATCTACACCTGTGGGAGCAGGTGACGGTGCTAGCAGGCACATGTTCATCTCCTCGGGCTGAAAAAAAAGAGAGAGTTACGCTATGGCCATAGCAACAGAACATGAGGTCTTTTGTTTGTCCTCGCACCCCGGCCTTGATAAAACTGTGGTGCGTTGTCTGAATAAACAGTCCATCCTCTCTCAAACTATTGACTTTTCCTTGGCCATCAAGCTAGCAGCGTGCGTGAGTCAATAAAGGTTGTGTTTGTATGTTGGTACACTCTTAAAAGAATAGTTCACCTCACATTTACTCACATCAGGCCATCCAAGATGTAGATGAGTTCATTTCTTCATCGGAACAGATTTGGAGAAATTTAACATCACTTGCTCACCAATGAATCCTCTGCAGTGAATGGGTGCCGTCAGAATGAAAGTCCGAACAGCTGATAAATCCATCACAATAATCCACAAGTAATCCACATGACTCCAGTTCACCAGTCTTATAAGAAACAAAGGCATCATTAGGCATTTAACTTCCAGCCAAAATCCCAGTCCCTTCCTCCATTGAAAAAGTAAATCTCCTGTTGTCCTCTCAGAAAAATATATATGCATATTTGTTTAGAACTGTTTTTTGTGCTTGATCTGTGCATATTTCTCTCCTGATTTAGACAAGATGACTTTATCACTGGAAATAGCAATATACTGTATTGAATATAGGATTCTTATTTTAGCCAGAAGCAATGGTTTGAAGTTAAAAATTTCTTAATTATGGATTTGTTTCTTACAAACATGGAGCTTTTTGCTTCATAATATGTTAATTGATGGACTGGAGTCATGGCAATTACTTGTGTATTATTGTGTACTCTACACTCTTGTGTACTGCAGAGGATCCATTGGTGAGCAAGTGAGGTAATGCTTTCTCCAAACAAACTCATCTACATCTTGGATGGCCTGAGGGTGAGTAGATTTTAAGCAAATTTTCATTTTTGGGTGAACTATTCCATTCAAAATAAGAGTTCCAGAAGAGGGCAATAGAAGAACCATTTTGGGTTCCCCAAAGAACCTTCTGTGCAATGGAAAGATTCCATTTATCTTAAAGCTTCGTCATGGAACCATCAATGCCAACAAATAATGTTTATTTTTAAGAGTGTACACATCCACAAAATCTCACTTGGCAGAGAAACAGCTCAAAAGATAACCCAACACTTCAATGACTTGGCGTTTGACAGTTGTCGAACTGCTTTCCAACAAGAAACTCAATCAAGCTCTTGCACAATTAGAAAACAAATCTTCAGAAGAACAACTTCACTGGATGTCCAATGAAGGATAAACCTCAATCTTTTCTCCTGAAACAAACCAAAAGAATTAAGGCGACCCAGCCGAGCAGAAACTGAACGAAACCGAGCCCTATCCCAAAAGCCCCTATTGCCTCGGGAATGACATCTCCAATATGGGGCGGAATTAATCCTCCTGTCCCCTACTTCCTCCATCTCAGTCCCAGGCCAAGTGTCAGGTGTCTGTCTCCGTGTGTCATGGAAAGTGCTACACCTAATCCCATTACCCACCAGCCATCTCCTCGCCCCATACCTCTGTCCCCTGCTCCCCTCTCTTTCCATTCCGGTCAGACATCGAATCCACACCTTTGAATCCTCATAATTACGTCTGATACCCCCAACACAAACAGGGTGTACAAGAGTTAGCTGCTCTACCCAAAGGCCCCCTCCGTCCAGGGATGTTTCTGCCTGACTGGATATAGTCGTATCTCAGGTAGTTAGTGAAAGGGCCAGCTGTTGTTTTGCTTATCAAACTCCAGGGTGGGGCGAACAAACTATTGTTTCTGAGCCGTTTTCCCTGGCAGTTGATAGCGGGCACAGATTCTTTGCCCAAACTATAACATATATTCTCACCTTTTAAACCTCTATAAAGCATCTTTTCGGATGTAGGCTACAATACAGAGTAACCGTTAGCAACAGTACTAGGGATGAGCAAAATGAAATATTTGACTAGGCAGTTGGTAGCCTGAATGAAGTAACTAATCGGTCTTAAGGAAACCCTGTAAAATTTGCTGCTTTTGGTTCACCTGGCCCTGATCTGACACATTTTAAGAAGGCATTCACATAAGTTCAAAACAGAGTTCTGCAGGTGTATTTAAAAAGAATATTTTATCTTCTTAAGAAACAAAACTATCAGGGGGTGAGGCTCTCAAAAAAAAGCTTTTCTGTTATCTGTTCGAATGTATGGCTTGATTCATGGAGGGTGAGTTAAAAAAGACTTCTAACAGGATTTTTTTGTGCAAACTGTCTAAATACTAAAGCATAGCACACTGTCAGCATACTAAATAAAGTACAGCCTTTTTAAAATAATAATAAAAAAAGATATATAAACCTACACTACCTTAAAAACAAAAACGGGACATTATGATTTTTTTTTTTAATGAAATTAATACTTTTACTCAGTAAATATGCATTATATTGATCATAAGTGAAAGTATAAGGACATTTATGTTACAAAAGATTTTACATTTTCTAAAAAAATCATAAAAAACAAAAACATTAAGCTGTACAACTGTTTTCAATATTGATAATATTAAGAAATGTTTCCTGAGCACCAAATCAGCATAATAGAATGATTTCTGAAGGATCATGTGACAATGCTAAAATTTAGCTTTGCATCACAGGAATAAATTCCATTTTAAAATATATTCAAACAGAAAATATTTTAAATTGTAATAATATTTCACAATATTACTGTTTTTACTGTATTTTTAATCAAATAAAATCAGCCTGGGTGAGCATATGACACTTCTTTTAAAAACATTAAATCTTACCAACCACAAACTTGAACTATAAATAAAACTATTGGACAATAGCCAACTAGGCAACTCAACTGTCAGACTCTGTTCCTTGTTTTGTGTGTGTTTTCCCAGTCCCTGAATCCAGCCCAGAGTGGGCTCCTGTTCCCGAGTTTAGCCCACGGAGGGCTCCTGTTCCCGAATTTAGCCCACGGAGGGCTATGTCAGACAGGGGAGTAATGTCAGACTCTGTTCCTTGTTGTGTGTGTTTTACTCCCCATGTGCCTTCCTTGCCCTTATTTGGTCCTTCCTGTTCCTGTCCCCATTTAGTTCTATTAGTTCCAGGTGTTCCTTGTTATTAGTTATCCTCCTCACCTGTCTGCCCCTCGTTATCTGCCCTATTTGAGTTCTAGCCCGTTCTGTTCTCCTTCGTCCAGTATTGTGAACGTCGATCCCCGTGTACTACCAGAGCTCGCTCCAGTGTGGGCTCCAGCCCCCGAATCCAGCCCAAAGTTGGCTCCTGTTCCCGAGTTTAGCCCAGTGAGGGCTCCTGTTGAGGGTTTTCCCTGTTGTAAATAAAGTCTGTGATAATTCTGGAATCTCCTTCGTCTCCTCGCTCCTTCACAGTAGGCACACCGTGACACAAACACTATTCAGATTCTGATAAAAACAAAGAATTTTGATCCAGAACTTTATTCCCTCTAGTTCTATCCATCAGTTTCCTTCAAACTGATTGGCTCTCTCTCATTCTCGCCCTGACCTCAAGAGACTGTCTGTAATACAGACCAGCTTGGCAGAATGTGTGGTGGAGAACACAGCATCCCCAACTACGTCTAGTTGTCCAATCACCAGCACTGTCACTGTTGTGGGCATCCAGCATAGGTGAGGATTAAGGATTTAGCATAATAAGATTACACGGCCAGTGAATGATATCAAGAGACAGTCCATATGCGGCCGCCTGGTTTTCCACTGGCACCCTGTGTGTGTGAGAGAGAGAGGCTGGGTGAGTCAGCTGCTTGGAATCAAATGGAGTTTAGCCAAAATCAAACAGACCTTCAGACAATTGAGATTAAATCTCAATTTCTGAACATTCCCCTGTGTGTTCGGAACAAGCACGGAATCTGCCACACGATTCCCTGGGCGGGGAAGTGACAGAACCCAAATGAATTTTATCTAACAACTGGATAATTAACTCCAAGTCTCCCCTTAAAGGGGTCATATGATGCTGCTAAAAATAACATTATTTAGTGTATTTGGTGTAATGAAATGTGTTTATGCGGTTTAAGGTTCAAAAAACACATTATTTTCCACATACTGTACATTATTGTTTCTCCTCTATGCCCCACCTTTCTTAAACGTGTCGATTTTTACAAAGCTCCGTTCTAAAAAAGCGAGGTGTGCTGTGATTGGCCAGCTATCCAGTGCATTGTGATTGGCTGAATACCTCAAGCGTGTGACGGAAATGTTATGCCCCTTACCATATTGTGATGATGCCCTGTCAGGCCGAAGCGATGATTCAAAAACATGCAAACCCATTATAAACGAGGCATTCATTGCATCCAGTGGGGACATAATTATGGATTATAATTAGTCGTGTGTTTATTAGTCACGTTGAATCAATGAAAGCAGTTGAATCTTCTGTTTATTTAGCTGCAGCGATAGGCATTTTCTGGATTTCTTTGTATTTGGAGTTTCAGCGTGACAGCTGACCCTCTGGCCTTTGGATGGAGATTTACTGCTGATCACAGAACCGTGCTTCACTGAAAGATACGCATGACAATCGCAGCTTCTGTCGAATCGCGATCTCGATTCCATTTCGATTTATCTTGCAGCCCTAATACAATTCATTTAAAACATATATACTGTATATTTTTTAACACCAGTCAAAAATAGTTTCAAATATTGCAGCAAAATACATAGATATCCCTTTAAGAGTCCGTTACAATTAAATATATACTGCAAACACCTGGTATACAAAGCAAAGCGTGCAAACAGCAATTCAGGCATTGAGACTGATGTCACACTTGTGTAAAGGTCACAGTGACTCCATGCCACCATCTAATGTGCTAACACTCCACTGACCTCCTGAAATAGCAAAGAAAATAAACAGCAGCCCAGGTGACACTGGAAAGCAGGCTGTAATTCTGAGCACCATTGTTCATGATTGCCGGACATTCAGAAAAAAAAAAAGAATGGTTAAGAAAACAATAAATATATTGTATTGAAAAAAATATATACTAATTTATAATACACTACCGGTCAAAAGATTGGAATAATATTTTTTTTGTATGTCTTTGAAAGGAGTTTCTTACATTCTTACACCAAGGCTGCAATTTTTTGATCAAAAATACAATAAAAAAGAGCAATATTGTGAAATATGATTACAATTTAATACAACTCTTTTCTATTTTAATATATTTTAAAATTTAATTTATTCCTGTGATGGCAAAGTTGAATTTTTATCACCATTTCTCCAGTCTTCAGTGTCAAATGATCCTGCAGAAATCATTCTAATATGCTGATTTTCGAAAACATGAAAAAATCTTATTTCAACTTTTGACTAGTTGCATATACTAATCTACGGCATACATAAATGTTTTACTTCAAAAAATCAAATGGAGGCACAAACAGTTTCAAATATTACAGCAAAACACATAGATATCCCTTTAAGAGTCAATTACAATGAAATACATAATGCAAACACCTGGTAAACAAAGCAAAGCGTGCAAACACCAATTCAGGCATTGAGACTGATGTCACACTCGTGTAAAGGTCACAGTGACTCCATGCCACCATCTAATGTGCTAACACTCCGCTGACCTCCTGAAATAGCAAAGAAAATAAACAGCAGCCCAGGTGACACTGGAAAGCAGGCTGTAATTCTGAGCACCATTGTTCATGATTGCCGGACATTCAGAAAAAAAAAAAGAATGGTTAAGAAAACAATAAATATATTGTATTGAAAAAAATTTATACTAATTTATAATACACTACCGGTCAAAAGATTGGAATAATATTTTTTTTGTATGTCTTTGAAAGGAGTTTCTTACATTCTTACACCAAGGCTGCAATTTTTTGATCAAAAATACAATAAAAAAGAGCAATATTGTGAAATATGATTACAATTTAATACAACTCTTTTCTATTTTAATATATTTTAAAATTTAATTTATTCCTGTGATGGCAAAGTTGAATTTTTATCACCATTTCTCCAGTCTTCAGTGTCAAATTATCCTTCAGAAATCATTCTAATATGCTGATTTTCGAAAACATGAAAAAATGTTATTTCAACTTTTGACTAGTTGCATATACTGTACTATAAAATATTTTTGTTTGTTTTGTTTTTTCAGTTTCTGAATCCCCTTCTGGGATTTAGAGAGGCAATAAAAAAATTCTTAAATTATGTGTAAACTTTTAAATATTTGAAATTTTAAAATATCCTGAGCAAAAAGACAGGAACTCAATCCCAAGGGCTGCTTCAGAGCTTCTTATCACAGCCCATCTGAATTCAGACATACATGAGAAGCTCGACTTTGGGAGCTTCTGCGGGACTTAAGAAGATTACATAGATTCGAATAGTGTTAACTAAGACGGCGTTCCCCCGAGAACCCAGATGGAAGGAAGATGAGGAGGGGGGACCTCTCTGATGTTCTCGATCTGTGTGGCAGAAGGCAGCTGAGGGTGGCCTGTATTGCTCTCTTTGTTCTCATTGGTCCTTCATGTCCAGTGAAAGGGATCGAAAGGGATCACTAGAGATTTGGAAATCGGGAGACTATCAGCGCAGCTATCAAAACGAGGCTGGCACCTGGTTGGTTGATGGAGGACAGATGTCTGCATGCATGACATAAAGGATGCCTTTCTCCATCACTTGATTTTTACAACAGTCTAATGGAAATCAAATGAATTTTAAAAGCCAGATAATGACTAAAGCCAATTACAGAGTCAATCCCCATAAATATGAACAAAAGCGAAGCGATTTCAAGGGATGCTGAGCTAGTTCTGTAACAATGACGTGACATAAATAGACTAATCTTTATTGAAATGAACTTTGACTGCAGTCTGAACCCAAGAGGGAGCTGAAAGGCAAACAGATCTTATCGGATGTCCCAAGATAGGCCTTCTGTTTTGGCTAAAAGAGAAATCTTACAATTCTCTATTCACTAAATGCCCATCCCTAGCACCGATTTCTTTTTCAAATTAGCCTGCTTTGTTTTTACATTATAGATATCTTTTAATTCATATAGGAAAAAAATACAGATTAATGCAGTTTTCAGAGCAGAGCGTAAAATGACCTTCCTGTGGGTCACAAATAATAGTAACCACAGCCCTATAATTGTCCTGGCATCCAAGATTATTACTTTCCTTTCAACACTAATGCAAACAAACCTTCCGCAGATGACAATCTAACTTCCCTTCTGAGCAATGCCACTATATTCTTAACCTCAGATTGTGGTAGCAGAGAGAATCACATTGGGGAAACCCAAGCAAGCTGCTCAGGAAACATTTGACATGTTATGACTGTTAGTATTAGCACTGTGTGGAACAATATGAGCTGATAAAGCTGACATCATAAAAATAACATAAGCGATACCAGCATTTGGACAAACTAAAAAGAGCACCTCAACAATAAAGGGACCTGTCTAGAGGATATCTAGATTTTTTTTTGGTACAGAAACGGAAAAAAATAAGTTTCTGAATGGCCAAAACTATCAGAGATAAGACTCAGCTGACACTCACTTATACGAAAGGACACACTATCCACCTATAAATTAATTACAAGTCTGTAAATATATGGATGTTACTGATTTACATATGTTTTATTATGGGTCAAAGACGAGCCGTCCCATTTTGGTGGCCGCATCAAATTAAATTGACAAAATATTTATAACACAGAATGCATACTAAATGCAAAAATGTCTACTTTAATGTTTCAAATAACTTCTGTGAAAAAAAAATGTCAAAATATGGGTGAAATAATGTTCCATTGTGTCATTCAGCATAACAGATGTTTTCATGTAAAAATGAAACAACATGCTTATTCTGACCTATACTTATTAAAATATACAAACAAGCAGTTTTTTTCAGGCTTCTTTGACGAATAGAAAGTTCAAAACAAACAGCATTTGTTTCAAATACACATCTTTTGTAACATTGTACATGTCTTTATTAGAATCTGGTAAACTATCTTTACTAGATTATGTATTAATCTTTAAAAAAAAATAACACGATTAAAATGACAGCTTCAGTATTTACAATGTGGTTATAAAAGAAGATCTGATCTGTTCACTACATTTCCTAAGTCTTGTCTAAAGTACAAGGGCATCATGATTTTAGTGTTATTATGGCTCAGGTGGGTCAGTTTCAACATCGATAGCAGGATATGCATATATTATCTACTGCAGGAATGTCACGTGATGGAATTATAATAAACGATACAGTCATTTGTACAATAATCCTACATGATTCATGTCCACTGAAAGCGTGATGTTTGTATATCTTGATCACACGTTCACTACGCAGCCGCAGTCAACCTTGAACTTCGTTGCATCATCGTCCTTGAACAAGTCTCCTTCTGATTGGCTAACAAAACAGCAATTCAGTCGCTGATTGGCTGTAGCGTCACCGGCGTTGCTGTCAACACCAGAAAAACATGGCGGCTCCCGTGAGCGGCATGGCTGGATCCACCAGCACAGGCAACGCAACTAGTTTTCAGAAAAAACCCCGAAGAAAACTAGTTTCTATCCCTGGTACAAGACCGTCTGTACAGAACGGACAGCTCTTAGTATCGTCTGGCGTCAGCTCGCTTGACTACGTGATTGGTCAGTACAATTCACTCGGTTTAAGCTCACTGTCAAGTGTATGTGCAATATATTCATATTTTTGCTATCCACTTTATCGTCTTCATATTTATTAGTAAATCTAGAAAGATTTCCCCATTAATAGACTTTTTTCTGCACCACTGTCACACTTAATGTATGCAAGTAGTATAATGTAAGACCTCGCAGAGAAATGCCCTTATTCCTTCAATTTATTTTATTTTATTAAGGGTATAATTAAATATTATTATATTGCATGTAATATTTTTTTGTATTTTAAGTCCTGTAAGATATAGATTCGGTAATGATTACTTTATCTTGGCATGTATACACTGTAAAAAGTGACAAAGAATTCCATGAGAAATATGTGTTCAATAATAATAATGACAATTATAATTATTTTTATTTGTCTTTAATTGAAATACTACACTCAAAAATAATACACTGTATATATTATATAGCATATATATACTATATTTCTAGATATTTCTATATTTCAGTTTGTAATAAAGGTACTTGCTTAGCTTACCCACAGTATATTGATTGCATCTAGTTTAAAAGTTAGACATTTTAATAATAATAATAATGCAAAATGTTATCTGGTAAGGAAAATGTTTATTTTAATGCAGGTGTACGTGAGCTTTTCTGATTAAGTTATGGGGATATCTTTTGAAGTGTATGGTATTGGTTGATGTTTAGATAAACTACATTATTGTGTTCTGTCATTAAAACATGTGCACTGTTGTGTAGGTGGCGGCCTGGCAGTTGGAACTCTGCTGCTTGTAGGTAAGCAATGAACCAATGTCTTTATACTGTCATGTCATGCCAGTAGGTTGTTGAAAAAGTTATTATTTCTGGCTATTATGTTTGCACTCATCCAATGTTTTGCATGTCATAATGGTTAATAAAAATATGGGTAAGATATTTGATTACTAAAAATAATGTTTTCATTAGTGTACAGTACAAAACCAAAGCCAATGAAACACAGAAGCATCTAACCAGATGTGCAAATAGCAATAGTGTGTGTATATTATATTATTTTTTAAAGATCATTATTTGGTGTATTTGGTGTAACAGAATA